CTGATGGGGGTCCTGTGGGGCACCCCAAAACACTGAGGAGCTCTCCTGGCCTCTTTCGGGACTGGGGCTGTGCAGCCATGTTCTGATCAGGAGGTACAGCCAGGGAGTCACCATACCTTTGGAGGGCAGGGCACACAAAGGGCCAGGAGGTTCAGGAGCCATTCAAACTCATACCTGGCAGGGGAGATACCATTCTTATAAGAGTGGTTTTCCCAGGGTAAGGCTCATCTATTGCACTTCAGATGAGCTGACCCCTGTGATTTCCTCAATGTGGGAAAATCAACTGCCTAAGTGGGGGACTGTGTTTCTGGTTTCCCCTGGTTTTTCTAGAATCACTTTTTCTGCTTTGGTCCTTGGCTGTTAGCATTGCTTGCTGCCATAGGCCTGTTTGCCTTGCTGGTTTTTCAGGTGCTCTGCAGGAAGCAGATCTTGGAAAGCCAGCAGTGCAGAATGGTGAGGTCTAAACAGCAAGCAGTCTTTGCTGCCAGCTCAGAGGCCTCCCAGCATGGCAGCGGGAGGCTTCTGGGTGGTGGTGGCTGAACCCTTTTTTACTGTATTCACTCCATAAGACGCACCTACTTTTGCCCCCACCTTTTTGGAGGAAAAAAGTGTGTCTTATGGAGCAAAAAATACGGTAAGTACAATAAAAAGATAAAACAATTAAAATGCAGTTAAAAATACAGTACTCTAAAGTTGCCATCAGGACCCACAACTGATATTATTTCAATTAAAAATCTTCTGGAACTGGAAGGTTTTGACCTGGCGCCAAAATGTCATTGTCAGCGCCAGACGAATCTCACTTGGGATTCAGCAGCTGCTGAAAAAGCCTTTTGTCTACAAGCCGTCCGTCTTACCTCCTTGAGGGACAGCTCTTTGAGGAGCCCCCCCCCGGCTAGATCTTAATTGCCGGGCAGGTTTATATGAAAGGAGGCGATCCTTTTTTGTTGAAGTGTGAAAAGATACAAGCAGGAAATCATACTATAATGACTAATGAGTGACCAGTTAATCTTTTGATAAACCTGATGCATAGAAAATAGCAATATTTGTCAGCATGTGTGGCTCAGATCCTCAACAAATCTGAAATTGTTTTGATCTGACTTCCGAGGAGTGAATCAGTGACAGTATTTGCTCAATTTGAAGACAGTTGTCAGGTGAAATGCTGAAATGCTTCAGTCAACTGAAAGATAACATGGCATTAAGCAACTTTACAGTGTGTTTTGTGATTTCTGCAGGACTATATTTGATGAGAAGAAGCTTTTGGAGTTTGCTCAACTTGGATGCTACTTGGAGTATGACCTTTTTGGAACAGAATTCATTTTCTACCAAATGAGTCCTGATATTGACATGCCAAGTGACAATGAAAGAATTCTAAGGTAGGTGTTGCAGTGCACTAACATTTAGGGCAGAGGTGAGTATTTTCAGCTATTAGCACCCTCTGCAGACTGTCAAAGGCCCCATCACCACCAAAAAAGCAGAAGTAGACAGACTTTATTGTAAGGGCAAAAGAAGATGCAAGGGGTTCTTTGACCACCTTTCATACTCTCAGGACAGAAATAACTGTGTTTTTATAAAGTATTTGGAGAAATAGATGGGAAGCTTTGGGTTCTTCTGGTAAGCATACTGAAAGTTCATATGGGAACCATATGTGCCAGGGAGTCTGCATGAATCCCATCCCCTAATTTAAGGACACAAACACTGGGAGTAAAAAGCGTGCAATGTTATAGGTGTCCAAGTTTCAGAAGTGGCCAAACTAAAACTATCACTTGGCATCATTATGGCCCTTTAGAATACCTGGCTTTCTATGGACTGCACTGTAGCTTAATTTGAAAGTTTTTTTCTTCAGCTACAAAAATCTAAAGCAGATAAAATTCTCCCATCTCTGGAATGAATTAGAGATGCTCCATGGTTTTGCTCTGTCTGCATTTGGAAGGAAAATGACCTGGTATACAGTATGCTTCCAAATTCATGTGTAGATTGATATGCAGCTATGCTTCCAAATAGTCATTTCTCAGTATTTTGTGATCCTATTTTGGGATTTTCAAAGAACCAAAATGCATATTGTACTATAAAAGGCATAGGAAAATGCATATTTTATCGTAAAATGTGTATAGATTTTCATGTTGATTGAGGATGGATGGCAACAGTATCTGCAGATTAATGCAGAAACAGGACAGAGTGGACTTAAAACTAAGCATATGTTCTACAGTTGTGAACTAGAAATAATTTAACTTATCCATCTCTTCTTTAACCATAGTTAAGAAATAGTAAGCAGGGAAATCTTCTGCACCTCTCTTATATGAGAGTTCCTCCAGTTATTTCCCTGATGGCCTTAATTGTGGGCCAACCAGATGGAGTGGAAGACAACCTGTTTTGATGTGACTCATACCAATGACCTGCAAAGTGATTGGGGCTGTTAAATTGTATCCTGGGTAAAAACAAAGACATTGAACAATACAAGGCCAAAATCCCAGAATCAAACAGGAGAAAAACAACTGAAAACATGGTCCTGTGCAGATTTCAACATTCACTCTTCCTGTTCACTTATGTTCCTTTTTAATTGTTCATTCACACCTTGTTTTATAGAAAATAGGCAAAATCCATATTGTAAAATGATGATTATGGCTCTCTAACTTCAGTTTGGTTGTATCGTAAACAGTGAATACCAGTCAGGTTCCCTCTTCATAAGAGATGGTAGAGCTTCAAAACCTGCTTGTCCTACTAAAAACTTTTAACATTGATCCAAGGGAAGAAGAAGAGGGAGTTACTGCATGCAGGGAAGGAATGTACAACTCTGCAGTGTTCTTCTGATTGTTGTAACCGATGTTGTAAACTGCAACATGTAAAGTGAAAGGGGAACTAGCTAGACAGGAGTATCTATGTCAGCCATGATGGATTTAATTTAAATCATGATTTTAATTTTTTTAAAATCAGATTTTTTAATTATTTAAATTTTTAAAATCAAAATTTTGATTTAAAACAATTTGATCATTGATTTTTACCCACCACCCTAATCTCAGCAACATTTTAACAAAGGAAATTCTATCACACAAGTTGCAGCTACAAAATGCCGATTAGCTGACAATTTGTACCAGCCCACTTCTTAACTTCGGGGTGATGGGGAGATTTCTGAAATTCTGCTGTTGTTCTTGTTGGAAATGAACTTTTAAAGTAGATAGGACTGAAGGTGTGAAATGTCAACTCTTCCCTGTCAACTTGCCCTTTAATAATATAAATTAACACATCATGAAATCATTCCTAGAACCTGAACTGCTTAGCTAAACTAGAATCAATTTTATGATGAATGAAAGTACTCCTTGGAAAGATATGATTGAAAGTTATGTGGGTAGAAGGACTGTTATCGGTAATGCTCCTAGTATTGATTGTGGCAGCAGTTCTGTTCAGTTCACAATACACCTTTTCCCCCCTAGCTGCAACATTTCTACCATAATTCTTTCCTCAAATTGGCATTGAACAAAAATGGAAGTAGATTTTTGTAGGAATATAAGATTGTCTTTCTCCCCAAATGGTGTGTGCATTTATGTTACAAATGCCATTGAGCTGTTTTTGTGCATTTGGTTTATTGTGCATTCAGGCTATTGCTGCTGTATGTATGTTCAGGACTATTAGCAGACCTGGATTAATTCATAGTCAACTCATGTTGACTTATATTCATCATACCCATACAAATCAAACTGACCTCTGTGTCTGTTGGTATGAATATGGGAGGGAGAAGATACTTTTCAGACTGAAGTCATGTTCAGCTGTAATAATGCTGAGTGAAAGATTTGTAAGTATCTGGTTCTGCATGTGAATCCTTAAACATTTTCCTTGAGATGGCATAGATATAAACAGATTTAATTTTTGCTTACTGATTTCTAAAGAGAGAGAGAATTTGAGGATATGTTTCTGTTATGGTGCATTTCATTAGAAACCATGTAGTCACAAGTTTGTTTTCCTTTGAGAGATTGTGTTATTGGAGTTGGCTAGCTAGCTTCTTTATTTAATGTATCAATCCAAGAAAGGTCAAGGTGGGTCAAATTGATATCCTCTTAACATCTTGAAATCTTATATATACAGATATTGTGATAGTGACCATGGAAAACTCAGTCTCATTGATAGTGGTATGTAATATGGTTATATTCATTATTTCTGGCCAAATAATTTAAATTGATTCAGCTATGATTACCATTTTCATATTAATAAGAAACTGATGATCCCAAAGACACTCACTGAGTCTGATTAAACAGGTTTGTAGCATTGTATTATGCAGTGATGTTGATATGAATAAGCTCTTGGCTGACTAAGTATCATGTCAGACATCTCATTCTCTATCACATCTGTGTTCATTCAGTGGCAGGGATGGAAGAGACGCTTGCTAAATCCCTCATTTTATTCTATTTAGGTTGCTTAGTACAATGAAACACCACAGCATTTAAAAGCCCTATCATGTTCCTTACCTCCAGCTAAAAGCAAGATACAGAGAGGCCAATATTCTGTTTATGCCAGCATATAACATAATGTCAAGGTATATGTGTATTGGGCATCATACCTGGCAACAGGGAACTGTGTTCTGGAATTGGGCAATTGGTTGTGCATCCCTGGCATGACTGATTGTGCAGTGTGCTAGCAGAGGTGCTTCAGGGATAGCACTTCCGCTTCAGCGCTAGTGCAGCTACTGCACTCTGTCTGCTATAACACATTTTGATAAATTTAAATTAACTACTGAGTTATGCATGTGTAGTTGCGCAATAGGATTTTGCTGCTGCCCCCGGTCCCCAAAAGAGATCTTTTTCTCCCTTAGTGGTTCTATACTTAATACAAAAAATGTATCCATTCCCTTTGAGAAGGCAAGTACACATCCACAGCAAGCACAGAAGTATTGTCCAATAGTTAAGCGGCAAACAACCCATTCAATATTTCACGTTCATTGACAAGTACATTAACAGTAGTCATTGCTGGTAGGTCCAATTTATGTTACTGCACAAATTATACAATTTTATACAAATGTTGGCAATTTTGTGCAAAGAACAGGCATCTTCTTGCAAAATATTGTCCTTGCCAATGCAAGAACTTCATTGGAAGTGCTAGGATATTCCTGACCATCTTTCCTAGTGAGAAGAATAGTGTGGAAAGGATGAAATGAGACAATTTACACTCCTATTCAGTGGTTTGTGTGGTGTATCAAAGGCGCAGGGCTTCTGAATACACAATTATGTATTCTTGCTCTGAACATGTGCAGAGAGATATGCGTGCACTGGTGTCATAAAAAATGGTTATTGCTAGAACTTAAATGTTATTGACAAGTATTACAGTATCTTTAGGCCAGAAATAAAGGGTGTATGACCCTCCCAGCATTGCTGGACTTCAGCTTCCCTCACCTCTCCACATTGATTATGCTACCGTAAATAGAGATGGGCACAAACAGTTGATTCGTACCTATCTTTAACCGTAAATTGATGAGAGTTGTAATCCTACATTTGGAATTTCATCCGTGTTCTCAACTACTTCAGAGACAGGAGGGTGTGGATTATAGTTTTCTCTGTGAACGTGTTCAGTTATTATAAATATTCCATTATATTACAGCAGTTCAGCTGACTCCTGACATTTGGGTGGCCAAAAATGTTCAGTATTTCTTTGAAACGTATCAACACTAGCTATTTCATTAAACATACAGTTGGTGTCTAAAAATAACTTGTATATTATTACCAGATTAATATCAATTCTGGATTGACACGTATATTCTTTGTGTTTTGCAGGGTTCGGATGTTGATTGATGAAGGCTATGAAGACAAACTTTTAATTGCTCAAGACATACACACAAAGAATAGATTAAAGAAATATGGAGGTCATGGATATTCCCATATACTTGAAAACATAGTCCCAAAAATGCTTGTTAGAGGCATATCTCAAAATAAAATAGATAAACTGTTGATAGCAAATCCAAAACAGTGGTTGACCTTTAAATAGGGAAATTTAAAATAATGAGTTTTGCTTCAGTTAATGTTTGAAATCCTGGCCAGCATAGTTAGTGGTGAAGACTTCTGGAAGTTTAGTCCAAGAACATCTGGGTATGCAAGATTGGTAACCACTGACCTAGAAGTTCAAGATCTGTTCCCTTTTAAATGTACATAGTATTGCTACTTAGGAGTGCCGCTTAATAGTGCAGCCATGTCAGAGTATATAAAGATAAATAATTTTTAGCAAAATAACAATAATAAAAATCAGATATTGTAGATTTAATGCTTTATTACTAATTTTAATGTTTAAATACTTCCCCTCCCTTTTAAAAAAATCCTTTGTGACAATTTTGTTTGTTGTCTGCCGTCAAGTTGCATCTGACTTTAAAGTTGCTCTAAAGTATGTGAGCTATTTAAGGAGTTGCTTTCCCAGTGCCAGTATCCATAGCCAAGTTGGGATTTGAGTCCAGGTCTTCTGAGTCCTAGATTGTCCTCTGTCTGGTATAAAACATGGTGACAAATTTAAATTAGAATGTGTTGTAGCTCAGAGATCTCATTGTAAATGCAAATTATAGATTCTAATTCTGTATTATGAAACAGTACCAAAATCCTCTTCCTTAGCGCACAGTAAATCTCACTGAGGTAGGCCCATTGTATCAGTGGAGATCTGATGAGTTAACTCTTCCATAAATTCCATGGATTCAAATGGGCTTACTCTTAACTGCAACTTCCTTTAGCATAATATGTGAATAGTTAGAATAGACCTATTTGAATCTATGAAACATATTGAGTTGATTCTTTAAGAGTCCCATTGATACAGCGGGCCTACTCCGGTGTGATTTGCTATGCTGAACAACAGGATTTTGGCCATTTAAAAAAATATCGGAATGGGATTCAGGTTTTGGATTGTGGCTTCAATTTTATGTGGTTCTGCAGGGTTTTGTGTAAGTTATTTAGGTTATAGAAACCATCAGAAAAAAATGCTTCTCAAACTGTCTTCAGATAACATACAGTGGACCCTCGACTTACAGACGGCTCCACTTACACTTTTCGAGTTACAGACTTCTCTGGCCGCAAAATTTAGGTTCGACTTGTAGCCGGAGAATCGACCTACAGACCGGGGGGGGGGGGACAACAAAATGGAACAAAAACGACCGGTTACGGATTAATCAGTTTTCAGTGCATTGTAGGTCAATGGGGCCTCGACCTACAGACTTTTCAACCTGCAGCCACCATTCCAATATGGATTAATTCCATAAGTCAAGGGTCTACTGTATTTATTTACAGCATTATGTGGAGGTGAGAGATGAGACCTGATTTCAGCCCTGTTTTCCATCTGTTACTGACATGCCTGGAGCTTCTCCCTCCCCTCAACATGGTGTTGGAAATTCTTTGAAGCCCAAGATTGTTTTCAGTAGGTTCCTTGTGAGTAATGCTGATTCCTTCAGAATGGCAATCCTAGTTTTTGTCTGTTTGCAATTTTATGCAGGCAAAGTGAAACACTTACCTTTCTCTTTGAGAGTCCACATTTTCAGACATTAGGAAGTGTTGATGAACAGAGGATTATTGGAGTCAAAATCAATCTGGGCAAGGAGAATGTGGAAAACATGTATTATTGTTATAAAAAGCAGAAGGGTACTTGGGGGGAGGAGGAGCGTATATTGAAATTGGCCAATATTGTGTTCATGCTAACTTTATGTAAATTTATGCCATTTTAAATGGGCCAAGTGTTACACTTGGAAACAAAGAATTATGTTCTGGAATTGTGTGATTGGTCGCACATCTCTGACGTGACCGTACAATGTGCTGGCAGATATTTGTCAGAGTTGGTACTTCCACTTTGGTACTCACATACTTTCTGTAGGTGCAACATGGCGGTTGCATATGTATAATTGCACAGTAGGATTTTGATGATTGAATCTTTCTTAGTGATTTGGACTTCAATTATATTCACTGTAAATCTTACATATATTTATTTTGAGAAAGCCTCATTTGTTATAGGTGTGCATAGGGCTACAATCTAAATTTGTCTCACTCTAACACAATTTTAAAAAATGTAATACGATGTTCCTGCTACTTATCCTACTGTTCTTTCATTTAGTGGTTACTTTTTTAAAAATCATGTTGAAATAAAATTTACATAAAATGATGGTTGTCAAAGCTTAAAAGTATTGCAATAAATACTTGACTAATCAAAGATAATTCTGAAATACCATTTTGTAAAGAACAGAATGGAAAATATGTACGTGAAAAGAAGAATCTGAGAGCTTCTAATGATGTGTAGGTTATAACTAAATGCAGTTGTGTCTACTTCATGTTCAGTGAATATCACTGACAGCAATAGAAGCCCAAATTTGCACTCAGTTGAAAGTCATACACCATGAAAAGGGTAACCTGGTTTTTGCCTTTGTGGTACAGCCAGTAGGCCAGTTTTGGATGGAAGCTGTAGTGACACTGCAGGCTGAAAATTATGCTGGGCCAATCAGCAGCACTGGTTAGTTCTGGGAGGCAGCGTGTATGAGGGCAGGTCTGGAACAGAGAATTTCATCTTTGGTCTGCATAAAATACATCATGTGGCTTTAGCTACTGTGTACAATGAGATGGACTTAACATTGATTTTAACAAGCTCAAAGATACCCCATATAAGATTTTGGTCAGTAGGCTGAGTACATGTCTATTGAAAGAAAGTCCCATTGAAATCAATAGGATGTAATCAGAGTTATGTGTATAGAATTGTATCTGAAATAAATGAAAGAACGACTTTTTTTGACTATGGTCATTTTAAAAATAACCTTTGTTGTGTTTCATAACCAAAACCATGGAAATATGCCTAAGTCACAGTAGCATAGACCTGGTGAATCAGTGGGTACCGGGCAGATCAGCACGAGTTCGATTGATTAAAAAAATCTACTCTAGTTGGGTCTAACAGTTGGATTTAGGCCCTAGATTCCCTTCCTATTCTTTTAGAAATCTTTGTTTAAAAATTACTGGGAAGATACAGTATCAAAAGTAAAAAAGTATAATATAGTAGTTTAATAAATTAATATAATAAAGCCCATAAGTTACAAATCATATATTATATTAAAAATAATGTTTCTCTTTACTGTTCTCTATGGTCCTAAACAAATGCCAATTTATCTAAGGAAAATGTTGTGTCTTGTTTAAAAATTCAGTCTGACATAAAATGTATTATACTCTGAAATATGCCCACCTTGAGACATCCTGTTCTAATAAAGCTGTTGTATTCTTCATAGTAGCTGCACATGTCTAGTTAGGTCACAATTAAATGAATTGCCTATACAATGGATTGAACTCCCTATATTGGAGTTATTTTGCCTGTTGCAAACAATAGCATCTGTCTTTGTTGCATCCTGAAGTGCAATTGAAACATCTACTTTCCATATAAAGAGGAAGATAGGGCCTCTTTCTATGTGAATTTGTTCCCTTTCTCTGTTTTTCTGAAACATGACTCTCATCTGGCTGGAACCATGCTATTCAACCCCTGGAGAAATTTTTTTTTTTTTGGTTAGTCAGCATGTACCAATTATCCTTTCCATCAAATGCTATTGTACAGTCAGTAAATCCAGGGATGGGCAACCACTTGTGGCTTTTGGTCATGAAACCTTTGACCTAATTTCAAAAGTCCTCTGGAAATAATGAGATCAGTCTCTCCTCCTGTAGCATGGGGGAGGAAGAGATGGGGAGAGCTGCAAATGGCAGAGTGGCAGAAACTAAGAAGAGGGGTGAATGCACCTGCTTGTATTTCTGCCCTCACCCACTGTTGATGTATTTTTGCTTTGTCCCCCACCTCCCTTTAAACCTGAGGAAATGCAGCCCTCAAGAGGTAAAAGGGTGTCCACCCCTGCAGTAAGTGAAGGTATATGTACTTCAGTAATAATTTTAAAAACCTTAAGTCCAATGTATGCTTCTGTTGAACTAGAATAAAAATAATCAGTGCATCAACTGATACATTGATAGGGAGAATGTAGACAGAAGCCTCTAATCTAGGGGGCCTCAAACTCAATTTACCTGGGGGCCGCTGGAGGCAGAGTCTGGGTGAGGCTGGGCCGCATCATATTTTCCGCCAAGCGGAGCAAGAGCCCAAGGAAGCCGCCCAGGACTTTCCTTAGCCCGGCCGGGGCTCCGAGGAGGAGGAGGGGCCGTGAGCCGTCGTCGCCGACCACGACCCCCTCCAGTTCCTTCTTCACTACCACCACCACCACCAGCAGGACAAAGAAGCGGAGAAGGGAAGGAGTGCTAGTGACCGCCTAGCCGGCGAGGGGGAAGGGCACGACATAAAATTTTAAAAACCCTCACAGAATTGCCTTGCCAAAGGAGAAAAGCCCCCATCAGTACACGCGAAATTAAACAGAATGGGACGGGGGCCCCACAGGTGCTTGCGGGCGTGCACACACACGCGGCGGTCCGGCAACCTTCCTCTGAGGGCCCCCCTTAAAAAAAAGCGCACTCAGCAGCAGCATCTACCCCCAACATGACAGAGGAGCAAGCTTTGCGAGGTGAGCCCAGGCAGCCTCCAGAGCTGAGGTGGCTGAAGCAGGATGAAGAGGAGGAAGAAGCAGCACAGCCAGGTACTGAAGCGGCCACTGGCCGGGCTGGTGCTGGGGGTGCTGAGAGAGAAAGAGAGCCAGAGAGCCACTTCCCTGGAAGAGATGGCGGCAGCAGCTGCTGTTGGAGGCGCTCTCCGAGGACAGGCTGGGAGCGAGCTCCACTCTCGGGCATCACTCGGTGGCGGCTCAGGCACTCGTGGAAAAGGGCTAGCGGCACACCGCACTTGTTGGCCCTCCCCCAAGACAGCGCCTCTTACACCCTCCGTGCGGCAGACAGGCAGGCTGGCTGGCAAGCTGCCGTTCCGGATGGAGGGTGCAAGAGGCGCGGTCTCGGGAGAGAGCACTGGCAAGCGAGGCTAGGCTTTGTTTTGACTTGACAGCAGAGGATGCGTGGGCTCTTGGGGGGGGCAGGCAAGGCAGGGGCCGCAAACTATCATCTGGCGGGCCGCAAATGGCCCCCAGGCTGCATGTTTGAGACCCCTGCTCTAATCTGATGAACAGCAATCATATTTTGAGATACGTTCATGTGTTATGGCTGTAGGAAGCATTTTTATATACTGTATAGGATAAATAGATGGGAATATAGAGCATTTTTCATGAAGTTGAATTCCCTCCAAAAAAGGAAGAAGAAAATCATGACATAACTCAACAATTCCTTTTAGAGAGTGGATTTTTGTCTTTTAATACGTGGCTTACATTTCAAAAAAGAAAGATACTGCATTATGAAAGGAGGAAATGATATTTTGGGTAGCTGAACATATGGTAAACCTAATATTCAAATTGAATTTGATCTTTTCTGGAATTAGCTATTAAAGATCAAGAGACACTAGTTCCTGTCCTATTTCTAGTTTTTCCTCAATAATAAATGTTCTGCCTGCAATGTAGTACATACTTACATAACAGTAAACCCTATTTAGTGCATTGGGATTTACTTCAGAGTAGATATGTATGAGATTGCATTGTAAATAAATTCATCCAAGCAAATTCCATTTCATCATGAATGTGTTGCAGCCTGTTGATCCCAAATACATTTTACTTAAAAGGTAATGTCTCATGGTTTCAGTAGAAGTTACTTCTATATAAATACATTTAGGAGCAGATGAAACACACATACTGAATCAGGAAAGTGCTTCACAGATGAATGTCTTGAGGTACAATTTAGGGCCTCCTAGAATCTCTGTTACAAATTGTCTAATTTTACAAAATTATACCAAAACACATGCGTAAAAGCACTGTGCCAGAGGGTTTTGTGTGTGTGTGTGTTTATGGAAATAAACAAAAGTCTCTGTTGAGTTTCTTGATATAAGAAAAATAGGCTTAAATAAACATTTTCCTTCACATTTGTGCATGTCTTCTTTACATAATTTTCTTACCTTTTAATATAGTATATGTACATGATAACACAGTCCTACTGTATAACATATTCTACAATCTGCATTTATTGAAGGCCTCCTTGTGTGGAAAAGCAATGGCACAAATCATATCCTTTTAGTTTTGCATCCTCACAGTGCAATCCCACACACATTTACTCTGAAGTAAGCCTTGCTGAGCTTAACTGGGCTCATTACCAGGTTAAATAGTAGATTACCGCCAAACATTCTCATTTCTTATAACCTTCCATGTTTTGGCTCCAGGTAATGAAAGTTTTTCATATATAAAATCTTAACATTTGTATTAAACAAAATAAAAACTAACTAGTAACTTGTTTACAAGATTAGTTGTTTCAGAGCCCTCTTTCCAGTCTGACAAAATAATCCATAAAAAACAAGTGCTCAAATTTTCTTCCTTTCTAAATATTTGGGCCAGCATAGTGGTGGAATGGCAGAAATAAACACTGTTATTAATAGTAATTAATACTGTTTTTAGTTACAGTATACATGGATGTCCCCAAATTCAGCTTTTAGCCTGTAACTTTCAACTCCATAGCTATGAAATCAGGCCAACACTGACCTAAAAACAGGATTACTATAGAAATCATTCTGCCTGTGAACAGTCTTTTTTTTTAATCATTTAGCCAGGATGGCCATATGACAATTTTAAAAGTTTATTTTAATATACCTTTCGTAGGCCTAATTCTGTGCCCTTTTGGCTGGCCCCATAAAGAGACTACTCTAATACAGAAGTTGCAACACAATCTGGAATATGAAGTATTTCTTGAGGTACTTACAGTATATGACATTTTCTCTGATAATCCAACACGGCAACTTCTTAATGCAGCACATCTTAAACTCATGCTGGAACATCCTGTTCTACAGTTAAGAGTGTAAACATTGTTTACTGGTAAAAATAAATTATCTCTGTCCCAATCTAGCAATGTGATTTTTTACTCTGCTGGAAAGGTGTCAGTTGAGTGAGAAAACCCACTACTTAGCTTTGTGTGTTGGGCTGTATTTACCTGTATATTGGTGAAATAGCAACATAAAGGAAAACCTTCCATACAGCTACATCTGTGTGTGGATGAAACCCAACAAATGGGACAAGGCTCCAATGATGATTTGTGTAATTGAGTTCTGTGGGACAAGGTAAATTGGCTGCACTTGGTACCATGTTATGTCAGGAAAGGGCAAGACCTTCTCTCTCATCCTCAGGAAAAGACTGGCCAACCAAAATGAGTTAATGCCTACTGAATAATGCTCAACACCTACTCTCCCTGATTTTTCATAGAGGTTGGTTGCTGTCTTTAACTCTTGGGGAGAAGGGGGGGAAGCATTGCATTTTTGGACACTTATAAAGAAGGCCAAGCATGCATATGAAAAGTGCCATGGGTGGCCTCTCCAAAAACAGGGCTTCAAGGTCTGTCTGCACATCTAACTAGGAAGGACAGAAGAGGAAACCAGCAAATATTCATAAAGAAATTTGCAAGCTGTGCCTTTAAACACCTCTAATACAAGGCTATGGTGTATGTTTTTTTTAAATTTAACAACAGTTATCACAAAACTGAACTTTTCCAAGCTTTTCTTTGGCTTTCCTTTATGGATATAGAGGCAGAGCACTACATGCACTGAAGTGTGTCTGCAACTCTCTTGTGCACATTCACTTCAGTGGAAGCAGCCAGCCGATCAGCATGCACAAGGCAATGTAATCATGGTTTGCTCTTCCTTTGTTGAAATGAATAACCATCCTGAGGCTTGGAACTTTTTGTGTAAACTGGAGCTCTTGTGTATGTAAGGAATCACTGGATTGGAGCAAGAGCAGACAATTCAAAACCAGATGTAACTGCTGCAATCATACCGAACACCTGACTCCCCTATATACACAACAATTAAGACCTAAGGCTTTAAGCAGGTTAATTTCTATTCCTAGGTAGTAAGGGAATATGAGGGCTAGGCAGATAAATCTTTTGGATGGAATAACCAGAATTCAGTTACATCTTCCTTTTCTTACCGCACATTATGAGTGGGCTGGACTCCACACGCACCATAGCAGGTAAGTCACAAGTACCAAAGCTGATGGATGGATAAAAGCAGCAAGATCATAGCACACCAAAAGTAGCATATATATGCTGAAGAAATAATTCAGTGCTTTTAAGGTTTTTCCCCCCTCTATAAAAGTTGTGATCTATATAGAACTTCATTCACATGGACACTAACAACGAGTATTTTGCTTTGGCGATAGTGGATCACATATCTCTTTAACTTGCTCTATATTTTTAACACTCTCTGGGTTGTCCAGGTGTAAGTCAGGTAGCATTTAGGCCCCATTACTGAGGTCCCCACAGACAGTATCCTCTGGAATTCTTGATTGATTGATTTTTGCCATGTGAGTCCATCAATTAGAAGAACAGATTTAGTTTTTGACTCAATTCTCAGTCAGCATAAATTATAAATCCAGAAAATGTGCTGTATTTGTTGTTGTTTCCTCCATGAGCTTTTCCTCCATCTAACTTTATGTAAACTTCATCTCCTGGCTCCAAATGTAGAACTACACTGTTACTGGCATAATCGTAGTTTTGATCTGCATCCTGTGCGATAGCGCTAGCCCGGACCTGAATGAAACAAACATAAAGAACATTTGGTTTACAATGCCAATATCTGCTGCTGGTGCAGAGTGATATGCTAACATCTTTTATGACTATCAATTATATTTATGTGAGAAGTTTGTTCTGTACCACTCTAATCATTGATGTATCTCAGAATGGAAAGAGACTCTGATATTACAGACAGATTTAGATATATATTAACCATTAGCTGATTGGTTGCTTGAATAATATAAAGCTACAGTACTTAGTTTGGATATTGGCCTGTGAAACTAGTTTCCATGAGTTCAGGGAAGTTTTATACTTGTTCTATGACACATGACAAACTTCTCAGCATATTTCCTTAACCCCACCTATGAATCAGTAAGCTGGCATACTTGTTTCATTTTTCACTCATATTCCATCTTCTGGGGGGCATGCATGAGCTGAGGAAAAGTTGCTCCATTTCATTTCCTTACCTTAGGCAAAGGTCTCCTCATGAGATATAATGCCAACCAGGGATTTAAAAGCAGAATTCTATAGTAGTCCCATGTTAGCCATTGTACTTGAATGGTACTCCAGACTTCAGCCAAGATAGGCCAGTATTATTGATAGTCCAAACTAAGGATAGATCCATGGAATCAACTGCAGGATGGTAAATCAACACTTACATAAATGTCATTGAGTCCACTGGTTACAACTAATTGGGGACTACTAATAGGATACTGGCCTATGAAACCAGTGCCATGAGTCCAGGTGAGTTTTACTCTTGTTTTCCTGTGACACATGACAAACTGCTTTTGAATCCAAGGGGAGTTTTCAAATGTAGCTTATGATATGGCATAGATCGTGGTAAACTGAAAAAAGGACGAGCACAAGTTTAAAGCATGAACCTAAGGTGGGATGCACATGTGTGTAAGAAAGAATTACCTAAAATCTATCCATAAACTAGATGCCAGTTTAGATTCAAACAAGTATACAGTATATCTTAAATCAGGCATGTTCATTCAACCCACATGAACAGAAACATCTCAGCCCTGCTCCTTCCGTTATCAGTTTGCCTAAGTGAAAGCAACAGATCTGAAAAGGAGAGCTACTGCTACCCATGGAGGACCTCCACCCATGCTAGAACTCTTGATTTTTCCTCATTCTGGCTCAAGTGCAGAACACAGACCCACAAATAGAAGAGATGCTACTCTTCAGACCTGTCACATACAAGTGAACAAAACAGCAAGACAGGGAAGGGCTAGTGCACTTTCTTATGTCTCAAGTGCTTCCATAAAGCCAGAATGTGGCTGTTACTCTAACACTGCACTATCTGTTCAGGAGGAGAATCAGGCCTATTAGAAAGGATATTGGAACTACAGAAGTGTGGAAAGGGTAAGGATACTGTGAAATCCTGTTGCTTAGAATTGTAAGCTGCACTAGAGTAGGTCAGTCAAATCAGTGAAGATTTGATGAGTCAGCTCCTCACTGAATTCCACTGATTCAATGAACTTACTTTAGTGTGAGTTGCCATGCTAAGCAACAAAATTTTAGCCAGTAAAACCAGCCTTGATGGATTGACTTTTGAATAATGAACTTTATGTCCTCATTGAGATGGACATTAGATAGATGAAGAAAGTGCAACACAACCATGAGAGCAAGTCACAGAATTGGTCACCACATTTACCAAATATATGTAGTCTAAAAACCATTAATTAAATTAATATTAGAAATAAATAACATTCCAATGTTGTAATCTGTGACTATTATATAAAAAAAATTTTTTTATTTAACTTATATGCCGGCCACTCTACCCAAAGGTCTCTGGGTGGCTTACAATAATATGAGTTCCAAATTATACACAGTGCTTTTGAGGTTACCAAGTTCAAGGTCTGTTTCTATTTTAAAGTATGCCACAGTGAATTTAATACAGTTAACCACTTTTTGTCTTGTCCAGCATGTAGTAAAACTATAGCTGGATGCAAGCACATCCAATATAGTATAGTACTTCAGGTCATTTACATGCTATTTGGTTCCACTGGTAAAATGTTTAACCTTTCATTTGTACACAGTTTATATTATTGTACGTATAACGTATCATCCGCTTTGTTGCTTGTTCTTACTGCAGTACGGTTATACAGAGCTGTTAGTGATTTAGTGGTTCTGCAAACCTGAACTAAGAAATAATGCATGACTTGGCATACAATCAACTGGATTTTTAAAAAATCTTTTTGAAATTGAAAAAAAAAGTACAATAGTGTATGTCAAAACTGTCTATGCATGCCTTTCAAAGTATAAATGATAGGCGCTCAAATTAAAATTTCATGTGATATTATCCTGCATTAATACAGAAATGTTAACAATGGATGAGACTTTTCACCATGCTAGATTTCATAGGGTATTATGGAGCTTAGAAATCACAGAAGCAGGAAAAACCTCTTCTGCATCATATAGCAAGGTTCAAAACGGCTTAAAAGATTTGTAATTGCTTAACAAATGTTCTGATTTAAGCTGACATACTGTAATATCTCAAACAGCTCTGCTTTGGACTCACTGTTTTGAAAATATTGCTGTTTATTGAAGTGATTTGTCTTGACCACTTTTGAAGCAATAACTATCAAATGCTATACTTCCTAAGGATTAATGAGCATCTGGGAGGAGCTGGCGACCTTCAATGATTCATGCCAGAAATATTCATCCCTGAGTGACCTTGCTCTGAGATCATTACTGATTTTACAAAGGAATGCATACTTATTTTTTTAAAACAATTATTATTATAGCATGAGTTGGTCAATTGATTTATACATTTTATTAAATGCAACTGCTTAAGTTATTACTCATATTCCATTCATGCCATATTTAAATGGTACATAATGAAGGAAGGTAACATTTTCTATTACAGCTGCTAGGAATTCTCCCCCCACTATTTCTTTCTCCCATAAAACAGCATGAACTCTATTGTGCTACAGGCTTTAGCATTAAATGTGCTCCATATATCATTATGAACACTATATAAAGATAGTGAACACCCTCCCCAGTAATGGACATTGTCCACACTAAAAGAATCGAAAGATTTATTGATTGAGCTCCTAAAAATACTTTGCAGATTGCAGTCATTTTGTGTGCAACTGCTATGGCTTGTGCCTGTGTTAAGCTTAATCCCATATTCAGTGTGCTACCTTTATGATCTTTCCACTTCTTCTAGTTGTTATTGCTAAGCAATATAATTTTTTTTAAGCTTATAAAGACAGCCTCAGAAGAATCTTAAGTGTATTGGTGTTTGTGTTAAAGGCGTCTCAGAATTAAAACAGTTAATATAGTGTACATTGCATAATTTCATGACCACCTCATTGAGCTCTAGAGGCATACGGGGACATTAAAATTGCAAATAAAGCAATTACATTATAGTCTCAGTGCTTCTATATTTGAGTTAACTGTTAAGAAAGTCAATGTGTTACAAGGGAATCACTGAGGTATTCAATGTACTGTATGTTACTCTTGAATGATTCCCCCCACCCCCACCCTAAGTCATATATATTTTAGCACCAATAATTTCTTCTTCTACTACATTGATGAATCTATATTTTGCTGTTTTTCAAGTTTTTTCATTAGCACCAATATTTTGTACAGAAAATTTTACCCTTACAGATTGTTAGCTGTCAACCTTATCAGATAAAACCTCCCCACCCCCACCCAAAGATTCAAGGATTTCTTATGACTGCTTGAATAGAAAGCCATTTCAGTACTGTTTGGTCAATATTTGTCCATTCTGTTTGTCTAGCAACGAAATTAGGCAATTTATAAATGTCTGGGATTATGTACTGAGCCTATCTTCATGGTTATTTTAATATTTATAATCATAAATCATAAAAATATGCCCTGCATTGTACTGTCTTCTATACAGTATTTACTTGCATCAAATGCTAAAAAGAAAATGTTTTTTAATAAGCAAAATAAAAATGGGGGTTTGGGTGTGTGTATGTGTTTGTTCAGACATATGTGTAAGACATGAAAATTAACTGTCATATACTTAATGTTTTGCTATGTGGTCTCAGAATTAAAGTCAGTATTTATGATAGAGAGACATTTACTAATTTGATTAATTACTACTGATGTCCCCCATAATTTCATTTTTACAGTACTTGTGAAAAACCATAAACAAAAGGTTAAGTGGCATATCAGATTAATTTACCAGTCTTTGATGCTCCCATCTGTGATCCTGCAATTTAACACAAAGTTGAAGTGACTGAGAGGGATCTCATCTAGTTATAGAACACTGGTATTCTCCAGTACCAGTGTTCAGGAATTTCAGTTTCCTTATTCTGCCTTTCCGGGGGTGGGGTGGGGAATCCCTTCACATGCATGATAAAGGCAGTGAATCCCACTTTTTTCAGATTTTCTTTTAAAATCTTGATCAGCGTGCAGCTGAAAAGGGATTCATGGTCATTATTGCTTACAGTTACACTATAAACTTCATAAATAAAAGGCAAATATTAAAGACAGAGTTGTTCTCTAAAGACTTTCTCTAACATTTCTTTAAAATTGAGAGCAGTAACCAAGGAGCCGTTGGGGAAGAAACAGCCCTATTTATGCTTTCTGTACTGTACAGCACCCAGCACACTACTGTCATAAAATAAATATTAGCTAGAACATGTAAAATTTCTTAATGCTTTCTGATTAAGATTTGTAAAGCTACCAGATTTGACTGAATAGTTTTACAAGAAATAGCACTGATCACATTACACTTCAATCTCCACTTTTCTGGAACTGTGATTGTGTGTCTGTCTGTCTACAAATACAATGTTTATCGCTATTATTATTTTTTTATCCATGAGCAATGAATGCACTGCACGTTTCCTGGCAACAACGCCTATCTAAACATAAATATTTGTATTAATCTATGTTATTATCAATATTGCTTATACAGACAATAGTGAATAAAATAAATCCTATTACACAAATGTGCTAATCATTTTCTCTCTCATTCTCTTTCCTCTTTTCTCAGACTTTGTGTGGAAGGTCAGATCCCTGGGGGCCATTTAAGAACCAGAGTAAGCAACTGTACTACCATTTAGATTAATTAAAATTGATTGTTCCTGATTGTTCTCATGTCTTTCACTAGACTCTAATAGTTTGGCCTAGTGAAGAAACGGGGAGGGGTGTGTGCTGTCAGGGAAAGATGCCTAAAATAGGTCTGTGTGGCTTTCACTGTCTCTCGCCAACAACTTGAAAGAAAGCCAGGAAAAGGGGGGGGGATGCTGTGATAAAAAGTAGGAACGTAACCCACCGGCCGCCTAAAACATTTAACCTCTAAAGTTAAATACCCTTTATGAAGCCCTAAGAGGAATTTACAGCTGTATAAACACGCATGTCCATTGCAGTGCAGGAGGCAACCCTGTACATTGAGCGTAAGTCCCATTGGGCCCTATGGGACCTCGTTTGGGTTGAACAAGGGCAGACCTGTATAGTTCACACGTACTGGCATAAACCTGCCTTCCCATAAATACGGAAGGAGCAGACAGGAATCAAGATTTATCTCAGTACGTGAGGACTACAGGCCCAACCTTGTTAAACTCAAAGCCAGGCTCCACAGCGTCCCACAGTCGAGGGACTGCTTCGCCATGAGGCACTCCCTTAGCAAGAGCCCGCGCTTTTCCTCCTCCCCCTTACAGGACTCGGGCCGCAGGGGGCAAGCAAGCACCCAAGGTGGCACCGATAGGAAAGCGCAGGCTTTCGCCTCTTTGCCGCTGGTTTGGCCTTGTCACTCCGCCTTTCCGGGGCGCCTCGCAGCAAAAGCCTTGCCTGCCTTCGTTCCTTCCCTCTCGGGCCCTCGCAATTTGGGCAACAAAAAACCGCGAAGCAGGGCCTAAGCCAGCTCGCTCGCTGGCGAAATGACTTGTTTCTCGGGACTCTTGAGAAAAGAGGAATGGCGGTTATTAAGAGACCCAATTAAACGGCGCTCCCGTTTCTTGCGTCTCCCCTAGAAGATGCTACAGTATAACTAACCGCCCTTCTTTCTAATAAACAGCTGAGCGCCAACCTGGCCTGGTTTGGTCACTTCTTGGGCTATAGTCTGGCAAACAATAAGAAGGGACGGGGTTGAGCAGCAGGTCTTCATTTTACAGTATTTTAATGAGGCCACCACGCCTCTCCTGAATTCTCTGCTCTGCCCCCATATTAAGCCGCTGTCCATGCTTTCCTCTTTGCCCTCCAGGAAGGCATTAACGTCTGTTTTCCACGGGATAGCAGCGGGTCGCCTTTTCTCTCAGAATTCCTCACCCAACCTCGAACTGAAAGGCAGTCAGTCGCCTTTTCCGATACTAACATCACAATTTGACCCCAATTTATTGTGAAGTCGGTCCCTCAGAGCTCAGTGGATTTTTATTGCCCAGTTAAGTGAGCCTGAACCTCCCCTTCCAACACGCCAGTTACGCTTTGGGGGGGGGGGCTGCACGTGGAATTGGTGGCTTTCTAAAAGTTGTTGGGGTAATTTCCGTTACCCCTGCCCCTGCATATAGCGCCGAGGGCTGTCTTGAATTGTAGTCCAACGCCCGCAGGACGACACGCAGTTCTTTTCCTGCTGTCACAGAGAGGCCATTGCACGGTCTTCCAGGGGCCCTCGGGCTCCCCGCTCTTCTCAGGAGCCGGTCCTCCAGAGAGACAGCTGGTTTGGGGCCTTATGAAATGGCATTACATTTGGAGTTATTTATTTAAGCTGTGGTTTTTTTCCCCCCATGCGGTTTTGTTCGCTGAAATTTTACCAGTAGAGAACGAGCGGAGGTGCTTACGGGTTCTTTTTGCCTCAGGGCCCAACACAACCTGCTCGCTCAAGGATACTTACGCCTCTTGCGGCTCTGCCTCAGGCAGCAACTTATCTTGAGCCTACCGTGCCCTTTCCTAGCCACGGAGCTCTCCCTGTGCTCCATCTGCCCTCTTGCCCTGAAAGGCCCCGGCCTGCCGCTTTTTTTCTCCGGCCATGCCTTGGAATCTGCGTTTTCCCTTCACGTAACAAGGCGCGCGCGTTTTCACGTGAAGGGAAAACGCAGGTTTTTCACTCTCGCCCAGAAGGGAAGGGCAGTCAAAGGGTATGAACGCACTGGAAGGGGAGGGTAAAAGTCCTCCTCGCCGCTTGGCCTGTGGGCCACAGCCGTAGACTGGGTGGCCCCAGAAGCAACTAACGCCACTTCAAGGCGCCTTGAGGAGCCAAGCAAGCCTTACGGGGCAGCCCACGCACACTCGTAAGGAACTTAACATTTCCGTCCGTCGCCGGCAACACGCTGCTGCTTTGCATTTCCCCCGGTTCTCTACGCCTCCTTCCTGCTGGAGCTCCCGCTCCTTTCCTGCCTCCAGGGCGACCCGAAACTCCCGGGTGGTCTTGAGTGGCCATCCTGAACAGACCTGCCAGGCTCGGTTCGCCCTTGTGCCCTCTTTCTCTCCCTAAGCTCAGCCCCAGACGCAGTCCTTCCAGGGGCGAAGGCTACCAAAGAAACGGCGCCCTAGAACATGCGAAGAGTACTTTGCCTTCCCCACCCATCACTCTTACACTTCTCCAACCAGTTTGAGCCGAAGGCTCTCTTGGCGTCAGGGCCAGAGGAGCGTGGAAGATCCTTCCAGGTCCTCCTCTATCGTTTGGGTCTCCCTCGCAGCTCCAGCCTCGGCCGCTGCCCTATCCAGGGAGCGCCCCACTCTGGTCTGCTTAATTCATCTAGCGTGAGGGGCTATACTTTTCAAAGCACTATTTGCAAGATACATCTTCATCTCTGGCGTGCAGACGCGCTGGCTTCACCTGTTGGATTTTTTCCTTAGCGCACAACACTCCAGCGGCCAGGCTCTCCCCCCAGTGGCCTAGATCCCAAGAAGGGAGTCCCTGATCCCCTTTACTCACCCCCTCCACCCACCCCGCTCCCAGTAGAGTAGACCATCCCCCGGAGCGGCTCCGAGCCGCTTGCCCGCGCCTCCTCTTCCGCCCGGGCTCCCCTCCTCCTCCTCCCCTCGCCGTCCCCACCTGGTTGTTTTTGCAGAGATCGGCCCACATGCTGGTGCCGTCGCCGCCACGCATGAGCACGTGGTAGGTGAAGAAGTAGATGCCGGGGATGGAGCAGGTGAACTTGCCCGTCGTGGGATCGTAGTGGTTGCCCAGGTTGGTGACCACGTCGTCGAACTTGAGCACCTCGTAGCCCTCGTGCTGCCGCTTGAGGCCGGCGTAGAAGGCGATCTTGGGGACCGTGCTGTAGGTGGCGGCGCTGATGGCCCCCGCCGCGTTCAGGCCCGGCGCTCCCGGCGGACCC